TTTCATTCTTCACCAATCTTTTCATTCTTTCTTTGGAAATGTGTCCCAAATGTTTGTGCCACAAGTAAGCAGAACATTCATTAATTAAGGCACATTTAGTACCAATATTATGATGCAGAGTCATAAGTGTTTCAGCATAAAGATTATCAAGACATAATTTATATAATCCATCACATAAAGTACCATTACCAATCAAATGATTGTGCTTATACAAACTGAAACTACCACTACCAAATTTAAAAGAGTATCCAGCAACATCAAGTATGGAAATTGAAACTAAATTCCTAGATATACTAGGGACATAAAGAGTTTCACATAAGTCCAAATGAAATCCACTGTCGAGAATCAAACAGTAAGTCCCAACAGCTTCCACCGTAACTTTCACTCTATTGCCCATAAAGACAAACTTTTCATTTGGCCTTATGGTTTGGGTCATAAGGAATCCCTGCATTGTATTAGAAACATGAGTAGTACAACCAGAATCAATCCACCACGTATTATAAGGAACTTCAGCTAGGTTTGATTCATAACATACATAAGCACTAGGCTTACCTTTCTTTTCGAACCAAGCCTTACGTTTCAGGCAATCCTTTTTGAAATGCCCTTCTTTTTTACAAAAATGGCATCTCATCTTTGCATTATGTTCCTTTTTGTGGATTTTAGAAGAAGAGGCCTCATCCATCTTAAGGGGTCCTCCTCCTCCTCCTTTCTTCTCATGCTTCGTAGCGTTATTCTTTTCAGCTCCTTGATGCTTCACATAATTGATGGAATGAGCTCCATGATTCTTGAGTCTGCTTTCCTCCTGAACTAGCATACTGTGCAATTCATGCACATTCCATTTATCTTTCATGGTATTATAGTTCATTTGGAAAGGATCATACTCAGACGGTAATGAGTTCAATACGAACTGCACCAGGAAATTCTCATCCACAGCCATTCCCAATGATTTCAATTTTGCCACAATGCTTGTCATATCAATAACATGCTCATGCATAATATGCGAACCATCAAATTTCATGGTGGTCAGTGTACTCATAAGGGTCCCAGCAAGAGACTTATCAGCAGTTTGGGAGCGTTCTTCCACAAGTTTCATCATTTCTATGGCACTTTCAGTTTGTGGAAGCTCCATGATTCTTGAGTCTGGTTTCCTCCTGAACTAGCATACTGTGCAATTCATGCACATTCCATTTATCTTTCATGGTATTATAGTTCATTTGGAAAGAACCATACTCATACGGTAATGAGTTCAATACGAACTGCACCAAGAAATTCTCATCCACAGCCATTCCCAATGATTTCAATTTTGCCGCAATGCTTGTCATATCAATAACATGCTCATGCATAGTACGCAAACCATCAAATTTCATGGTGGTCAGTGTACTCATAAGTGTCCCAGCAAGAGACTTATCAGCAGTTTGGGAGCGTTCTTCCACAAGTTTCATCATTTCTATGGCACTTTCAGTTTGTGGAAGCTCCATGATTCTTGAGTCTGGTTTCCTCCTGAACTAGCATACTGTGCAATTCATGCACATTCCACTTATCTTTCATGGTATTATAGTTCATTTGGAAAGAACCATACTCAGACGATAATGAGTTCAATACGAACTGCACCAGGAAATTCTCATCCACAGCCATTCCCAATGATTTCAATTTTGCCGCAATGCTTGTCATATCAATAACATGCTCATGCATAGTACGCGAACCATCAAATTTCATGGTGGTCAGTGTACTCATAAGTGTCCCAGCAAGAGACTTATCAGCAGTTTGGGAGCGTTCTTCCACAAGTTTCATCATTTCTATGGCACTTTCAGTTTGTGGAAGAGCTGACTTAATGTTGCTTGCAGTGCTCATTTTCATGTACATCAGACTTAATCTGTTGGATCTTTTCCAGTTCTTAAAATGGTTCCTTTCATTCTCGGTGCTTTCAGGAGTAACAGCACCAGGTATCTCTTCTCTAAGAGCCATATCCATATCCATTACCCCAAGGTAAAATTGGATTTGCTCTTTCCATTCAGAGAAGTTCAGCCCATTAAAAACTGCAACAGTTGAGAACATGGAATGTGTAGCAACAGGTACTGCGAAGAATAACATTTAAAATATTAATGCTTTGAGTCATACATATCACATACTAACATACTTCACAGATTCAAATATACTAACTTCAATGCATATTAATGTTCACCTTTGGGGATCCATTAACATACAACATTAACCATAATGATGCTATAAAATTTCACATAATTTGGCAATGATGCATACCCCTATCAAAAATATTTGTCATCTTTGGATGTCCAAATGCAAAGAAGTATACCAACAATACCAACGTCCATGTTCATTTTATAAAACAAATAATCACCCTTTGGGTTGATATCTAATTGCCCTATAATAATGAACTTCAATATACCACAACATGAAAATTATATCATACTCTTCATAGCATCACAGTCATGGTAATTGAAACAAAATTATAATATTTGAAATTAAAATAACTCTTCAAGATTTGGCCACTTTGGTGACTAATAAATCTACTATATTTAATTCCAAAACTTTGTCCAACTTTCATATATATATATATATATATATATATATATATATATATATATATATATATATATATATATATATATATATATATATATATCAGTGTCCTTTCACGTTTTTCCAATAATTCATAAAATGAAATAAACATATGACAGTGACACACTTTGTCAGTACAAGGACCAGAGAATTGGCGCGGGTTAGCGCCGTTCCCGCGCGGTGATCCAGTAAAATTTCCAGTGAAGTGGCGCGAATCAGCGCCAATTTGGCGCAATCCCGCGCTATAATCCAGTAAAATGTCGATTAACATTTATATCTCACGCAATCCCACGCAACTTTATTTATGGTTCGCAACTTTATCCCATGTTTCGTTTATGGTCCGTAATGCACAATCCCACGCACAGGAAATCTCAAACAGTACATCGATTGACATTTGTATCTTGATTTTAGAAAGGTGCGAGATATGGAAAAACCATAAAACAAGTGGTCCGAGAAAATAAAGCCATTTATTTTATTTTCAATGATGATCGTGAATTTTCAAAAAACCCTAACTTTTCATGAATTAAGAATTCATTCATAATTATATATGGAAAAACATAAATTCTTAAACACATGCTCTGATACCATATGTAAGCTTTTAGTCGATAATTCATGTTCAACAACAATCACATCAAGAACATGAAAGAGGATCTTTAGAATTCATGAGTTTCACATAAACATACCTTTGTCCATAAATGTGGAAGATCTTTAACGGTAGAATACTTTCTCAGAGTCTTGACCCTTTTCTGTTCTTGTATCTTCTTCTGATAGGGATGGGATACAACGCTCATAGGCAGACTCAGATGGATCGTCAGTTTCTCAAAAAGACTCAATAGTAAGAAACTCTCCATTACCTATTATATAAGTGCACCTATCAACAATTACACTTTAAATAACTTCCTTAACAGTCAATTACTGTTATGCTCTTTTATTAATTAAATCAGATAACACTTAATATTATACATGAGACAAATAAGGTTTTACAAAAGTAACTTGTCTTGTCTCGGATGTTTTATTAAACTGTGATTGCTTTCTATTATTAGACATTTAACATTATTTTGTATAAGAACTTTTGTACTTAGTAGTTAGCATTATTGTACTTAGGGATTAATTTAGAAAGAAGATGAATTAATTCTTGTATTCTAACCCCTCTCAATGTATATATATATAGAGGTAAATATTTCTACAGGTACTTTAGATAAAGTTATTTACAACCACCATTTTTAACTATGTTCTCCTGGGAGAACATAGTTGTAATATTAAAGTTGTTTTTTTTTTCTCTTCTCAATTACTTTTCAGAACTTGTTTGCTGACGTGGAGAGAGAGAAAAAAACAACTTTAATGTATAACTGTGTTATCCCGGAAGAACATAGTTATAAATGAGTAGCTATAGATAAATTTATCTAAAGTGGCTGCAAGAATATTTTTTCCTATATTGGCTGCCGAATTTTATAATTTAGAATTAAACCCTTAAAATTAAATAATATAATTCAGGGTGCGCATGGTTTTGGGATAAAAATATAGAAAAAATTTTATATTCACAAGAATTTGAATCCAATATTTTGTTTGAGCAGAATCAAATATGTATCACTTGAATCAACTTTCAGTGTGCTTGTTTTAATTTTTAGAAAAAAAAATTATAATATTTTTTTTTTAATCTCAAATAATATTCTAAAATAATTTTTTTAAGGTACTTGTTTTTTAATTAAAAAAAGGGAAAAAAGTTTCCGATGTTACTTTAGATAACTTTATCTAATGTTCATCGAAACGACGTCGTTTTGGGGTTGAAAAATTAAAAAATTAAAGTGATAAAGACTATTATAACCCTGAAATAAATTAAAATTACAAAAATACCGTGATTTCTGTCCCAAAACGACGTCGTTTTGATGAACATTAGATAAAATTATCTAAAATAACATCAGAAAAAACAAACCCTTAAATAAACACTTTTTCCTTAAAAAATTGACAAACAAACCGGCTCCAAAATCATTTTCTTATGATGAGAAAATCTGTTTCCACGTGACGCTAAATTTTTTCAAGATCAAAAAGTTACAGGACTAGCCAATCGATGTCTTGCTTCTTTTTTTTAAAGAAGGGATGATATTTTTTTATTATTCAAATGGACAATGGAACATAATGTAGACAAGCCCTCAGGCAGGAATAATCATAGGAGTAGACTCGTACATTAGTACATGTTTGACGAGGTTGCACTGCAGAACAGTATGATGGAGTTACACTCGTGTAAGGTCAGGTTAGATTCATCAACATTAAAAATCTGCGTTGGGTCCCACCCTCTATTTACTTCTATCTAAACTCTTACTCCTTCTCTTTCTTTGTTTCCTCTTGTCTTCTTCCTCTCTCGCTCTCTCTCTCCCTTCAAACGCTTTCTTTTTGATATTTTTGAGAGAGAGAGAGGGAGAAAAGAAAAGAACTGGGTTCTTTTTTATTGATTTAAGCCTTCAAAGTTTAAAACTTGAGTTGGAACCTAAATCAATTAACGAGTTGGGACTTGGAAAAAAGGAAGGTCTTAAAAGGATTCAAATCTGGCTCTAGAAGCGATTGCATCACTATCTATCTTTGATGTGTTGATTTGGGCAGATTCTGATCAGGTTTGTTATGGTTTCTGTTTTCCCCCCTTTGGCTGAGGTTATTAAATTTTTATGGATGGTTAGGGAAACCACACTGACTTGGTGCCATGGAAACTCCTTTTCTGTGGTTGTTGTTTTCTTATCTTATTCTCTGTGCTTCTGCCACCGATGTTGAATATGACAACTGCAACTGTGATGATGGGGAAGGGATTTGGAGCATACATAGTATACTTGTTGGCCAAAAAGTCAGTGATTTTTTCATTGCTATTGCATATTTTTCCATCCCCATTGAACTCCTTTACTTTGTAAGCCGTTCCAATGTTCCATTCAAATTGCTATTCCTTCAATTTGTGGCCTTCATAGTCCTTTGTGGCTTGACCCATTTACTCAATGCATATTCTTATCACGGCCCTTCCTCCTTTCAGTTGTTGCTTTCCCTTACCGTTGCTAAATTCCTCACTGCTCTTGTCTCATGTGCAACTGCATTGACCCTTCCCCCCCTCATCCCTCTTCTTCTCAAAATCAAAGTCAGGGAGCTCTACTTGAGGCAGAATGTGATGGAATTGGACCAAGAGGTTGGGATAATGAAGAAACAAAAGGAAGCAAGCTGGTATGTTAGGATGCTCACAAGGGAAATTAGGAAGACTCTTGATAAACATACCATCTTGTACACCACACTTGTTGAGCTTTCCAAGACATTGGATTTGCATAATTGTGCAGTTTGGATGCCAAATAAGGACAGAGGAGAAATGCACTTAACCCATGAATTGAAAACAAACTCTGCAAAGTTTTATCGAAATTCTATTCCAGTAAACGACCCTGATGTATTAGAGATAAGAAAAACCAAAGGGGTGAGGATTTTGAGGCCTGAATCTGCACTAGGAGCTGCAAGTAGTGGTGGTGGCCCTGGAGAGTTGGGTGCTGTAGCAGCTATTCGCATGCCCATGCTTCATGTTTCAAATTTCAAAGGAGGGACACCAGAGTTGGTTGAGACATGTTATGCTATACTGGTTTTGGTTCTTCCAAGTTCAAACTCTAGGGTTTGGACTCGCCATGAGATGGAGATAGTTGAAGTAGTTGCTGATCAGGTGGCTGTGGCCTTGTCCCATGCATCTGTTCTTGAAGAGTCTCAGCTAATGAGACAGAAACTAGAAGAGCAAAACCTAGCATTGCAACAGGCTAAAGAGAATGCAATGATGGCAAGTCAGGCAAGGAAGTCGTTTCAGAAAGTGATGAGCCATGTAATGCGGAGGCCTATGCATTCAATTTTGGGGATGCTTTCATTGTTTCAAGAGGAGAATGTGAGATCTGAACAGAAGATTATTGGGGACACAATGTTGAAAGTTGGCAATGTGCTCTCAAGTTTGATTAATGATGTAATGGAGATTTCGGAAAATGATAAGGGAAGTTTTCGGTTAGAGATGAAACCTTTCCTTTTACATTCCATGATGAGGGAAGCTGCTTGCATTGTGAAGTGCTTGTGTGCATATGAAGCCTTTGGTTTTGAAATTAATGTACAGAAGTCTTTACCTGAACTGGTTATAGGCAATGAGGCAAGGGCTTTTCAAGTTATTTTGCATATGGTTGGCTCTTTATTGAATATGTATGACAGAGGGAATCTCATTTTTCGAGTTTTTCTTGTTAGTGACGGTGGAGACAAGGATGATAAAAATTTTGGAATTTGGAGATCAAGCAATCAATATGAATATGTACATATAAAATTTGATTTTCTGATAACTGGTAAGTCTCAGTCAGATGAATCAACTTCAACAAAACATTATACTGGTAGGAGGCAATACTACAACAATGAACCTAAGGAGGGCCTCAGCTTCAGCATGTGCAAAAAGTTGGTACGGGTAGGTGCATCATTATTATATTTATCTACTTGATTGTAGTCAGATACTCAGATGGCTAATTTCCATGTTAATTTTTAAACTGCTGCTTATAAAGGACATTATTGTATAAATTATTAGCACTTAGCTGTAGACCTAAGAATTACATTTTATGCTTAGAGATGATGTTTGCATTGACAAATTTACTTTTAACTTGTATCCTGTATTTTCAGTATAGGTGAATGATCCAATGTGGAATTGTTTATGATGCTGGAAATGGGTGGTGAAACTATCATAACAAAATAGATTGGATGATATTACTTTCAGATCAGATTTAATAATAATACGTAGGAAGCCCCTATTGACTCAATGCTGCAACAAATCTCGTGCTAGGTTTTGTTGGGACCAATATGCGTATTGGCATTTTTTATCACAATTACACATGCACAAGTTTAATTTGAAAATTTACTTGCCTCCTGTCGGTTCCTCATTTAGCTTTAGTAGAGAAAAAAATTCTGGGATAGTAGTAATGACATCCGCTGTTCCACTTCAATGATTTTTGGTGCCCATGCAACCTTTTTTTCCTCGATATATGTATTTGAGTTTCGTTGCATCAGACATTTTAACTCAAAAGAAATATATATCACAAGTCAACAATTGTATAGTTGTATGGAGCATGGGCAAATTCACCTTCAACATACCTTGAATTTTTTGGTTATCCCCTTAACATTTGGAAGTCATATATAGGGATGACGTTCATTAGAGCAATTGTCATTCATTGCTCTGCAAGTTTGCATTCAGCTATGTGTCGCATATGTTGCTGGATAATAGTGGCACCCTAGGATGCTCAAAGGAGGTCTTCTTTCCTAATTGACTTTGTGTTGATCTGTCACTTTTTTTAATTAAAATTTAGGAATTAATGTGATCAACTCCAACTTTAGTGAAAGTGTTTGTTTCTTCTAACTATTCATTAAGAAAGTCAAATTATGGGTGATCCGTTACTTCAAAATCGCTGGTTACTTATATTTGACATGCAATTTTGCATAGATTTCTCTCCATACTGGTTGAGAACTTAGTCAGGATGTGCTTTTGAAAATACAAATTCTGACATAACAGGCATCAGTGGAAACATGAAGATTGTAGTAGCAGAAAAAACGGGCCATGATCGTCACTTCTTTTCTCTAATTTTAGGATCATCCAGTTAGTTTTAGAATTCCAACATGAACTATACTAGAAAAAGTTGTCTTCTCCTTTCATGAATTGGATTAGGTGACAAAGAAGGTTCATGCATTTTGGGGTTTGGAGGGTGTATAGAAAGCAAAATGATAAAGTAGGATCTTTCTTTTTATACACGTAAGATTTACTATAGTACTCATTGGAGTAATATGCAGAAACTGAACCTTTTATGTATAAATTCATCATGGTATGTTTGTTTTGGTAATTATGACTTGACAATGTGGAACATTATGCAGATGATGCAAGGTAATATCTGGATATTACCGAACTCTCTGGGTATGGTGCAAGGCATGACACTTCTTCTCAAGTTTCAGATAGGACCATCTCTTGAAAAATCCATATTTGCACCTAAAGATTCTTCAAACTCAGAGTTTAGAGGCCTTAAGGTAGTATTAGCCGATGATGACGGTGTAAACAGGACGGTGACAAAGAAGCTACTTGAGAAGCTTGGTTGTGAAGTAACTGCTGTTTCATCAGGGTTTGAGTGTCTAGGTGCTGTAAGTGGCTCTGGTAACTCATTCAAAATTATTCTCTTGGATCTTGACATGCCCGAAATGGATGGTTTTGAAGTGGCCATGAGGATCCGGAAGTTTCAGAACTATAATTGGCCCTTGATTATTGCTCTCATAGCAAGTGCAGAAGAACATGTGAATGAGAAATGCCTACATGCTGGAATGAATGGATTGATTCGAAAACCTATCCTCCTTCATGAGATAGCAGATGAACTTAGAACATTCCTGCAGCTGAAAAACTCTGAATACAGTTTTAAGTAGTGTCATCTTTCGTTCCTCAATTCATAACTTCAACGAGTAAATATTCAGTAATGCCGTATATATATATATAGTTGGTTTATTTTGCTAAACGTTGCTGTGATTGAGCCTTTTCTTGCTTAATGTACTATGGAATTATACGCTGTGTCTAATGGCTTTGCCTCCGTCCAAAAAATACCAAAAAAGCATATAAATCACTAGCATATTTAGTGGGAAAATCAAAATGTGGATGTTGAGTATTTGGAAATTTTTCAGAATTACAAATTACTTTTGACTATTGTTAATGTATTGCAATAGTCAATGGATTTGAAGTTTTTCACGTGGTAGGAGATAAAATTATAAAAGCATTTAAGATTTACGTGTGGTCATGTGAAAAAAAAAAAGAGAAAAAAAAATATGAATTTTATATATTTTTATAGGGAGGGGTTATATTTTTATAACTCAAATAGTTTACAAACTCTTACAATCATATCTTAACCGTTGATTTTCGTCAATCAACGGTTGTCATTTATTGTGAATTAATAATTAATTAATAAATTTGATTTGTGAAAATATTAACTGTTGATTGACGGAAATCAACGATTAAGATATGGTTGTAAGAAATTGTAAACAAAAATAGGTTATAAATAGAACCTTCTCCGTTTTTATGCGTACGTAGAAGGTTATTTTATCTACTAAACTCATGTTATCCTCGTACAGATAAAGCTAGGGGGTTGTGAGAATTGGGTTTCTTTAAAATTTATTTAATTTAATAATTAAGGCTAGGGCCGATAAATATATTATTAGGATTTTTTTTAATTTATTTATATTGTCTTCTGATTGAGTGTATTATAAGGAGTGTGGTGACAAAAATATAATAGTATATTAACCTTATATTGAGGGGAATCTGGTAAATTGTCTATATTTTTTTTTTTTTTAAATAATTGTCTATATTTATTTAGTTGCAATTGCATGCTTGATTGAATCAATCCTTACAATAAAGAGATACACACACAAAGATATTAAAAATATTAAATTAGTGATATTTAATATGTGAAGTCTTACTCAAGATTTTTTATTTTATAAAATTCATATGATGGATATATTACCGAATGGAGGGAGCGAGTGAACTATATATATATAAAAATATTGAATAATTAAGCAAGAGAGGGTAGCAACGATTAGAATGAGCTGCGAAGGCGAAGCAGAATATTTCTGCAAGGACTTCGATTGGGAAGAACTAAGAGCAGAGGTGGAAGCAAACCCTTGCTTTCGCTACCACTTTGATTCCCTTTCTTCTTCTTATTCAACACAATCACCGTCACCATCTGCAGAATCAGATGTACAAGCTTGGAAGCAATTTCACATCCGTCATGCCTCCGGGAAATTCTTCAAGGTTCCTTCTTTTTTCCTCTTCACACTCACCTTCACGTTCTCGTACCCAAACTAACCTATTGATTGCATTCGAGTCTCGTTTCAGGAGAGGCGCTACTTGTTAAAGGAGTTCCCAGAACTACTTTCCTGTCCCCCATATTCTAAGCTCTTAGAAGTGGGTTGTGGCAATGGCAGTACTGTGCTTCCTATACTTAGGTTTATTTCTTCTCCTTTTGTGAAAATATGATTGGTTGAAGCCGGTGGTGCTAATTCATTTACAATTTTTGATTTAGCAGATTTAAATTAATGACTTCCTTTTAGTCATTTTGGCTGTTCCCTATTTGTTTTTTGTATCTTGCAGTTTTTTGTTCTTACGGAACTTTCTTGTGTAGGGCCAACAAAGATGTGATTATTTATGCATGCGACTGTAGTAATGAGACTCTTGAGAGGGCTAAAGAGTTTATAAGTGCCACCACAGTTGCCTCTTTGATGCATCGTTTCCATACTTTCTGTTGTGATCTTTCCACTGATGGATTCCCAAACTGGTTGGCATGCAACCCTTGCCAAGATAAATTTTTACAAAAGCAGTCAAACTGTTTGTCAGGTTGCTTACTTTACACCTTTAGGATGCTGATTTATGCTACTTTATGTTGTTGTTTGTTGGCTCTATGAAAAGTTAGATTTTGATCTTTTTGTTTCCCTCCAGATGTCAAAGAGGATAATGGACTGCATTTTACCAGTCCATATTCATCGGAAGAATGTGACTCTTGTGTTGGCGGAGTAGATTTTGTAACAATGGTCTGAGCTTTTCTCCTCTATAATTATAATAAGTTCAATGATCTTGTGCTTCCGGACCATGAGCATATACTAGAGCCAAAATCAGCAACCTGAGTTTTTTTAATATTTATTATATCAACTGTTTCTCTTTACAAGCGATGTCTCTTGACAACATATTCCTAATCCTAATCCCTTTCAAATTATTTTCCATTTTAGAGAAATTGTTTTGTTTCAATTTATTTGTCGTTTTAGAAAAACAAAGTATTAATTTTTTTCACAACTATAGCCTTGTCTCTTGGTATCTCTGCTAAGCTGAATGAGTGAGAGCATTAACGGAGTGGCAGTATTTTGAGTGTTTTAATAAAGTTTAATTTAGTTAAAAATGTAGTTACGTTTTAATATAATTGAAGGTATTTAATTGCTTTTTTAATCCTTGTGCAATTTTCTTAAACACATATTGGATCAACTGTTGTCTGTTATGAAAGTAGTTTGACTGTGAGTTTCTCTCTCATTATGTTGCATAACGTTCCTTATCTCTACACTTCATAGCTTTAATTTGGAAGATACATGCGTTCATGCTTTAATCTCAATTGTTTTCATACTTAGTTTCTAATCTACTTGTGGTTCTTATTTGTTTGTTGCTTTAGTGTTTACTACAAAATTCTATGTACTCCATGGTTAATGATTGTTTTGCCTTAGTTTAGTCTTTCTTCGTTAGCTCTCCGAATTCTTCCCCACATGCAACTTTATATCTAATCTTCATAATAAATCATAGACTCAGCTGAATGTTGTAAGTTAAAAACTAATGACCTCTCATTGTATAAGTTGCTTGTATGATGTTTAATTTCAGATATTTACTCTATCAGCAGTACCACTGGAAAGGATGCCAAGGTCCATCACGGAGTGTTTTACTGTGTTAAAACCTGGAGGCATGGTTTTATTTAGGGACTATGGTAATAAACAAACTAACCAAATTATTCTGTCTAGAGCTTCTGGAAAAATAAATCTGTAGCTTTTTCTTTTAAAACCTAAATTGCTTGCAGTAACTGAACCCCATGTAATCAGGTCTCTATGATATGACCATGCTTCGATTTGAGTCAGACAAGAAAGTGGGATTCAGGGAATACATGCGGTCAGATGGAACACGATCATATTTCTTTTGTTTGGATACTGTACGGAACCTATTTTTGTGTGCAGGCTTCACTGAGGTAGTTTTCTTTTTTATTGGAAGACAAGAACTTTTGGGGTTAATATAACTGACGGATCTCTGATTTTTTTCCAATAGAAGCATAAGTTGACTTGTGATCCTGCATAAATTTAAATACTTATTTGCAAGTTCTTATATATGTAAATTGAGCTTAGTATCTGTTAACCGGTATAGTGTTTGTTCAAAGTACAGAACCTTCCTATACTTATTTTGGTGTCTCAAATTTCTCTTCAGTGTTTCTGACATATTGTTTTCTGCGGACTATTACTAAATTTGATAGTGTATGAACTTTGCAGCTCGAGCTTGATTACTGTTGTGTTAAGTCTGTAAATCGCCGGAAAGGGAAGAGTATGCGAAGAGTGTGGGTTCATGGGAAGTTCCAGAAGCCTGCACTGAATTAGTTATTAATAATCTGTCTTGGCGTGCTTTGTGAAGTCGGAAGAAAATGTACACATATTTGTGTTTATCATGGATTGTTTTTAGCTACGCTGAAGATTGTAAAAGAGAGACAGCTAGAAAAGACTTGTGAAGAACTTTGTTGTTTCTGTATTCCTTTATTTTCTCTCCTAAATTTTGGTGTGTTGAGAATCTGAAATTGTTATTATTAGAAAAGAAAGTATAGAAGATCTCTTGGGCTTAGCAAAATAACCGGTGAACCTATACCACATTTAGAACCGACCCGAATTGAACCAAAAAAACCGGTTTTTCAAACCAAATCATAAACCAAAACCATTTTTAATATTTTAAAATAAATCACTTATGAACTGATTCTAAATTTATTTGTAAAGTAGAACCCTAATTTTTTCACTTACGAAGCCAATCTCGAAATTTACCATTGAGGTTGTTGTTCTACCATGTATCATTGAGATTACGAGTGTGCATTGCTTACTCTAGCTCTCCACTCCCTTCATCTTCAACTTTAAACCCCGTCATTGTGCCATCTGAAGTCGTTCGTTGTGGTAAGTTGTTTTTTTTTCATTCAGTTTTCGTTATGCAATCCTTAAACTGATTTAGGGATCTAGGTATTAATTATTAAATTTTGAGGGTTTTTGATTTCTGAACAAGTAGGGTTTATTTTCTAATTTGGGTGTTATCTAAGTCAAAATTTGTAGCCACTTGATGCTACAATATTAGGATTATTTGAGGCATTTTGTTAGCTTTACATCCAAAATATGTTTTGAACTATATAGGCGCTGGGTCACTTTGATTTGGTTCGGGTCATATCTTCCTATTATATAATTATCTAGATTAAAGCAATTTCAGGTTTTCTTATGGACCACTCTTCTATGTAAATTGGGAATATGATTGCATTTCTTGTTGGATAGTGATACAATCAGGCCCAAGACGCACAAAAGGGACCAAGCAAGACGGGTATGGATCCAAGATAAGCAAGGCCCAAATGCTTCAGAAGAGCAGCTCTCAGATAATGCCATGTCAGCAGTAGGAAGTCACAAGAATACCCCTTAACTGACTAGTGCATGCTGGGCCATGAGTTGGTTATATAGAGCGTGGGAAGGAATGGAGAGGGGAGGTTGAATATGGGAGAAGCAAGTGCTTAGGAGAGTGTGGGACCTCTATAATTGTCTCACTGTTATCTTTTCATTTCCATTGTAATTTGCTGGGTTTAGCTTTGATGTAATTTTCCTTTAATATGAACCAAACTCTGTTTATGAGTGTTATTTTGCATCTGAATAATACAAAAGAGTGTTTGTGTCTCTATTTTCTCTGCTGATTGTGATAAATCTTGGATTGTTCTCTGTAAAACGTAACAAATTGATATCAGAGCTCCGATCTTGGAGCTCTGTGGTATGGTAATCACGCGACAAATGGAACATCGAATGGATTTAATTGAGGAAGCATTGCGCAGAGGGTGTGTGAGGCAGGAAGAAGTTCTGTTAAGGCTAGACGCAAGTGACGCTAGACATGACGAACTGCTGCGTAGACTGGGAGCAAACGAATTGGGCATGAACAATATACTCCGTCGGTTAGATGAGCTGGTTGCGAGAAGACGCGGACAATCTCGCGACGGAGAAAATGATGATGAGGAGGGTTCAGGTCACTACGAAAGAAGGAACGGGAGGAGATTTAATATGAATGTACCCCCTCACCGACGCCTAGAGGTTCCCACATTCGCAGGGGAGGATGCCTTTGGGTGGTTGAGTAAAGTGGAACGTTATTTTGTGGTTAATGGGGTCACCGAAGCTGAGAAAGTAAATTCGGTGTTGGTTGTGTTGGAAGGGGAGGCTCTTCACTAGTTCCATTGGTGGGAGGCAAGCAATCCAAACGTGACTTGGGGAGTTTTCCGACGCGAAATACTCAGTCAGTTTCAATCAGAGGCCCTGGACAACCCATACAGGGCCTTGTACACTGTTAAACAAGACGGGAGCGTGACTGAATTTCGTGCCCAATTTGAGAAGATGGTTGGGGCTTTTCGTTTCGAAGATGAAGATCTGCTCAAAGGAGCATGGCTCAACGGAGTTCGTACCAGTATCAGGAAAGAATTGCTTATGTTGTCGGAGCTTAGTCTTACAGAGATGATGAAGTTATCTATGAAAGTGGAGAGACGTAACGCGGCTTGGAAGGAAGAGGGACTAGGGCCTTTGGGGCGAAATTGGACGACCGGACACAACCGGTTCTCAGTGGGCCAAACAAGAAATGCAGGCCCAAATGAGAATAAGTCATGGACAGCCCAAAACGCAACCCCAAGAGCGAGCAACAGGGTTAATTCCACCCAATCTTCCACCGGATCTAGTCAAACGAGTGTGGGTCAAGGGAATACAGCTCGTGGGAGCCCTAGCGAAGGAACGAACACGAAGACGATGACCCCAGGTGCTGAAATTCATGCCGGAGAAAACGATTCCGGTCAGGTGAGGAGGCTGTCAACCATGGAATAGCGTGACCGGTAGAACAAGGGGCTGTGCTTCAAGTGTGGGGATCGTTGGCACTCCAACCACAAGTGCCAGGTTCGTCAGTTGCATTTGCTGTTGGTGGACGATGAAATTGGGGAAGATGGTGAGAGAGAACGAGAAGAAGTTGAGGTGATTCCGGTTGTGGACACTGGTGAGTTGGGGAAACCGCTTCTACTCTCTCTACAAAGCCTATTAGGGCTCTCTTCAAGCCAAACACTTAAGGTGTGGGGTGAGATCAGGGGTCAGCAGGTGGTGGTCATGGTGGATTGTGGGGCATCCAGCAATTTTATAAAGAGGGAGGTGGTAGAAAAAATGGGACTGGACATAACTGATACTCCATCTTATCAGGTAGAAATCGGAAATGGATGTAAGATGGGATGTAAAGGGGTGTGTCACGGGGTCGAAATCAATATTCAGGGGACCCAAATCAAACAATATTTGTATCTCTTTGAGTTGGGTAGTGCTGATGTAGTGTTGGGGTTAGAATGGCTCACTCAATTGGGGGAAATTAAAGCAAACTTCAAGGAGATGACGCTTAAATATGGAGAGAGGGGGAAGGAGACCACCATTAAAGGAGATCCGTCGCTGTCTAGGTCGGAGACTTCTTACAGATCCATCACTAAGGCCCTAAAGAATCAGGCACAGGGATTTTTTGTCAACTCAACAGAAGAAGAGGCTCTGGAGGAAGAAGCGCAGTGGGCTGAGATTGAGCAGTTGCTTTCTGAATTCGCGGAGGTTTTCCAGTAACCGAAAGAGCTGCCACCAGCCTGAGCAATTGATCATGCCATACACCTCAAACCAGGGAGCATGGTGCCCAATATTCGTCCATTCAGGTATCCCCATTACCAGAAAACTGAAATTGAGTTGTTGGTAGCTGAGCTGTTCAAAAATGGCATGATACGTCATAGCACAAGTCCGTATTCGAGTTCTGTTATTCTGGTTAAGAAGAAGGATGGGAGTTGGCGAGTATGTGTGGATTATAGGGCCTTAAACAAAATTACCATACCAGATAAGTTTCCTATGCCAATGGTGGATGAGCTTCTAGATGAGTTGGGCGGGTCACAGGTTTATTCGAAGCTGGATTTAAAGGCAGGGTACCACCAGATCAGAATGAGAGTAGCAGATATCCCGAAAACAGCCTTTAGAACGCATGAAGGCCACTATGAGTATGTGGTCATGCCGTTTGGCTTGACCACTGCTCCCTCAACCTTCCAAGCTTTGATGAATGAAATCCTTCGCCCATTCTTGAGGAAGTTTGTACTCGTGTTTTTTGACGATATTTTAATATACAGCAGGAATAAGGGAGAACACCTGGGTCATTTGAGAACCATCTTTGGGGTATTGAGGCAGCATCAGTTAGTCTCAAATAAAAAAAAAATGCAGCTTTGGCAGGGGTTCTATCGATTACTTAGGACACTGTGTGTCTGCTGCAGGTGTCAAAGCTGACTCGGAAAAAATAAAGGCCATGGTGGCTTGGCCGACACCCATGAGTGTCAAAGGGTTGAGGGGTTTCCTGGGGCTGACCGGATATTATAGGAAGTTCGTGAAGGATTATGGAAAAATAGCAAAACCACTTACGGAGTTATTGCGGAAAGATGGTTTTCAATGGAATAAGGAGGCCGAGGACAGTTTCCAACAATTGAAAGTGATGATGAGCTCAGTCCCGGTGTTAGCTTTACCGGATTTCAGCAAGAAATTTACAGTTGTCACTGATGCATCAGGGAAGGGGATTGGAGCAGTCCTCACTCAGGATAATAAACCGATTGCATTTATGAGTCAAGGATTCTCTACTCGGGCTCAGACCAAATCTGTCTATGAGAAAGAACTTATGGCCATAGTGTTTGCAGTCAAGAAATGGAGACATTACCTCATGGGTAATCATTTCATCATCAAGACAGACCAAAGGAGCTTACGGTTCCTTACTGAGCAGCACATTCTGAGTGAAAATCAACAAAAATGGATATCAAAACTGATGGGGTTTGACTTTGAAATTCAATACCAACCAGGGAAGGATAACCGGGTAGCTGATGCCTTGTCTAGGCAACTGATTTTTGCAGCTTTATCTACAGTGCAGTGGTCTGACTTGGATGAATTGGAAAAAGAGATATAGCAAGATCCAAGACTGCAGGGGATCTTCCAGGACTTGCTGATCGTACCTGATGCGCATAAGGGATTCTCCAGGAAGGGGGGGAAGCTCTTTTACAATGGCAGGTTGGTTTTCCTGAAGGCCTCTCAGTTTATCCCTTATTGCAAGAGTACCATGATTCTGGGGTTGGTGGACACTCCGAGTACTTTCGCACATACAAAAGGTTGGCTGAAGTAGTTTATTGGGAAGGGATGAGGAAGGATATAAAGGATTATGTGGCGGGTTGTGCTATCTGTCAACAGTGTAAGTCCCTCAATCTAACTCCGGCTGGGCTTTTACAGCCACTACCCATTCCAACTCAAGTTTGGGAGGATATATCCTTAGACTTCATTGGGGGGCTCCCAAAATCAAGGGGAGTGGATACTTTATTGGTGGTAGTTGACCGGTTCACCAAATATTCTCACTTCATTCCCCTCAAACATCCCTATACGGCTAAGGAGGTGGCTGAATTATTTGTCAATGAGATCGTACGGTTACATGGCTTTCCTGCTACTATTACTTTAGACCGTGACAGAGTATTTTTAAGTCATTTTTGGACTGAACTCTTCAAGTGTGCAGCTACCAAGCTCCATTATAGCACAGCGTATCATCTTCAAACCAATGGCCAAACGGAGGTCGTTAACCGCTGTTTGGAGGCCTATCTACGCTGTTTTTGCTGCACCAAACCCAAAGAATGGCCCAAATGGGTTCCTTGGGTTGAATTTTGGTACAATACAACATTTAAGGATACAACGGGCATGACCCCATTTAAAGCTTTGTATGGCAGGGATCCACCTACTTTGTTCAAGTGTGGGACGTTTATTCCTTCGATTGATGCTGTCTCCCAATCTTTAGCAGAGAGGGATGTCATCTTGCAAGATTTGCAGCATCACATCCTCAAGGCACAGGATCGCATGAAGCACTTTGCTGACAAACACCGTAGAGATGTCCAGTATGCTGTGGGGGATTGGGTTTACCTCAAAATCCAACCCTATCGTCTTAAAACGATTGCTAGACGCATCAATGAGAAGCTTACCCCACGTTTCTATGGTCCCTACCAAGTGCTGGAACGGGTTGGGGAGGCAGCTTACCGTTCTGGGTGTCAGGTACATCCTGTTTTTCATGTTAGTTTACTTAAGAAGGCAGTCAAGACAGCTGTTGTAATCCAACCTCTTCCCTCGGTCCTTAATGATAATTGGGAATTAAAAATGGAACCCGAAGCTCTTTTGGGAGTGAGGCGTTCTGTCCAAGACACAGTTCAAGTATTGATTAAATGGTGCCATTTACCAACGTTTGAAAATTCGTGGGAGGAGTTTACAGTTTTCAACAGTCAGTTTCCTCAATTCAACCTTGAGGACAAGGTTGTACAAATGGGGGGGAGTATTGATACAATCAGGCCCAAGACGTACAAAAGGGACCAAGCAAGACGGGTATGGATCCAAGATAAGCAAGGCCCAAATGCTTCAGAAGAGCAGCTCTCAGATAATGCCATGTCAGCAGTAGGAAGTCACAAGAATACCCCTTAACTGACTAGTGCATGCTGGGCCATGAGTTGGTTATATAGAGCGTGGGAAGGAAT